ATGTACTTTAATTTTTCACCTCTCATTGTGTATTTAATTTCCGTAAAGAAAATAAGAGACATATTTTAACATTCAAAGGCATATATATCTGACTTTTATCATGGTCATAAGAAATACAGTTTGGGGTCAAAAATCAGCCCACACTGACTATGACCAACAGGTCCTCCTCAGCATTTCTATGAGGCTGTCCAGATGCGTGGGTACCATGCATGTAATTTGCAGCGTGATCCTCTTTGGATGCTACAAACCTAGCCTACTTAAAATTCTGACAACTGAGTTCCCTATTATAGCCTGCTTCTTCCTTCCAGCGGTGATCCCTGCCCCTAGAGAACTGTCCTCAGGACAAATGGATACAAGCTGATCTTCTGAACAGGCAGGACCCATTAATGCAATTGTTTCCCTCCTCATCAGCTTAATTCTTTCCTGTCACAAGATGAGAACTCCTATCTGAATGATGTTTCCTTGCCTCTCTCCTCTATTTCTCAGCATGCCTAAGAAGGCTTGCCCAGAAGTAGGACCTGAATTCAGGCTTGCCCTGAATTCCATCAGTTCAGCATTGCTGGCCTGACAAGACTCAACGCTGATAAAGGTGCATTACCTGCACCATGAGCACGCATGTTCTCTGCAACATGGGATCTTAACTTGTTTTTAAAAATAAAATGAAACAAAACAGAATACCTGCAAAACCAACCAGCACCAAGGGGAGACAAAAATCAGAAAAATATCCATGGAAAGCTAACCAAAAGTTAAGTGTAGGCTAACTATATGATAAAGGAGAAAATACAAGTTCTGCAGTACTACAAGAAGCAGACAAATGGAGCAGATAGATTGCTTAGGCTTTCAAACTTTGAAAGGTGATCTGAAAGTTAAATTAGGCTGAATCCTAAATAAAAATACAACTCAAAATGGTTCAGGAACTGAAAAAAAATCAGGGTTATGTCAGAACTTTATGAGGGCGCTTTCTTGAAAAGAATCTGACCACTTTCATCTTCTCATTTAAATTTTTATTTCTTCATAATTTATTTTCTTTTCATAGGTGTAACTCATTAATATATCCTATCTTGCAGCTGACTATCAGATCCACATGGACTTCTCATGTCATTTGCAGACTTTTATTCATCAATATTTGAATTACTGCTACCAAACTGTGCAAGTTTATTATCTTTTAACACTTCTGCTCAGGTTAATCAACATTCTTTGTATTTCTATGTTTTATTCCCATGCGCAGAAAATGTTTGAAGTCATGTCATAAGCTTCTTTGTCATACAAAAAAAAAAATCCAAACTTGTAAATGAAAGTTACCAGCAGCAAATACATAGCCTCAGAAATCCATAACCTCAGAATTTTTCATTTGCTGCAGAGGAAACAAAGGCTATATCTGCATTAGCAACTAGTGAGGTAGCAGCAGATCTGCAGAGTGAAGCAGTTGGTGATGAGGAACGGCTACATTTGGTGGGGCAGGGCAGTATCTCAGATGAAGTCTCCCCTGGTTCTGATGACTGAAGTCGTGCATCTTCCTGTTTTGCTTCAGCTGAAAAAAGCCAAGTTTTGCATCCTTTGTGACTGCTCAGTGATGGAAACATAGCATCCTAAGCGGTGATAGTCAGGAGATTTGTTTCAAAAGCTTATTTCTGATCTGAACTAAAACAGTAACGCCGATACATCCAAATAAAAACATTGTTTCTGATTTCCTTGATGATTTTATTTACTAGTAGTAAAACTGAAATACATACGATATGGATTTCTTATTATTAAATGTATGAAATGTATTTCAGGAAATTTAAAGAACTCCATACTATGAAGTCAAAAATTTTAGAAAATTAAGATATATCTAGTACGTTTAGTATAGTTTTTCCATTAATAAAGTCCTTGGGTATGCACTGAGGTTACTCTGAGGCCTTTTACATAATAGTAATTCCATCAATAATAAGTTGAAGAATATAAAGTACATTATTTCTAAAAGATAATAAATAAATATAAATGAGAAGCTTTTCCATTAAAAAAAAAATCACTTGCAGATATCTTTTTAATGTCCTTGGCTTTTCTAATTTAAGTTCTATTATTTCAATATCATTAATATTCTAAGCAGACAGATTTGGTCTACATGAAACGGGATGTGGGACAGGCCTTTTGTGGCACAATTAAGAGTGTTCCTTTCAAGGACAACGTCACAGAAGGTGAACGCTAATTTTGCTAATATGGTAAAGGAGAATAAATGATTGTAGAGAGAAAGAAAAGCAAAAGCAAACTACATAGCATAATTTTTTTCTCTGATGTTCTTTGTCACACTTAACTTTCACTTTTAAATAAGTTATTACAGGGACAGTAATTTGCATAAAAAGACTGCTTGAAACGTCAAAGACTGCTTTGCAGCTATAACAGGAAGAGAGAAAAAGGAGCCTTTACAGATGTCAAAGGAATTTTAAGGAAATGATCAAAGACGACACTGATAATAGAGTACAATGCAGAAAATACTCCCAACCCTAGGTGTCAGACTGTATACATCATCGCTAAAAATAAGCATGCTTAAAATGTCTCCACTTCCCTATATATGAAAGCCACAAAAATTAAAAAGGAAAGCTCAAAATACTAATTTTCTTAATTGTAAAGTACTTTTTCAATAACTGATTTTGATCGTATGGGAGAAAAAAAAATCACAAAATCATAGTGCAGAAAAAAATTGTTGTAAAGCTCTAAAATAGTTAAAACTACTCTAAAATAACTGTTTTCAAACAATTAAAAGTTGTTTAACTAACATATTTTTCAGTACTGTCTTACCAGATTCAAAACATTGACCCTAAAGTACTAAGTGCATTATACCTTGTTTTTACTTTACACATGGTATGAGTAGCTATCATATGCTCAGATCACATTTTTGAAAGCACACAAACAACACACGTGATATGCATATATAACACAACATCTAATAAAGTTTCCTGTTACCAAGTACTCTTTTTAGTACTCTTTCCTCAGTAACAGTATGGTACGGTATACTAATATTTCATGTATCCTACCAGGATGAAAGTTGAAAAATTCATGAACCTTAAAGGGATTACTCTTGAACATTAAGACTGAAGCACATCAGCACAAAGGAAGTCATATCACCAAATACAGAGTCAGTATGATGAAATTTTATGGATGGATGGCAATTATTTGAAGCATTCGGGAAAATCTGAGCAAAGTGCTTGACCACTACCATTGCAAGCAATTACCAGCTGATTTTAAGAGAAAAGACTAGCACCATCCTTAGTACTAAAATTTGCTTTAGTTTTAGTTATTACTAAAACTAACTCATATTAACAAGTTCAGAGGAGAGTGGGCCTATTTTATTTTTCCCCTGAAACCAGAAAAACAGAACAATGACTTGGCACATGGTGACAGTAGTAGAGCAAAAAATCTGTTTTAAAAACGGCCCTGAATTAGTTTGTAAGGAGATTATGATATGTTTAGGTGCATTAACAGCAGCATTGGTTTGAGACCTGAAAAGGCCCCCCTGTACAAAAGCATACATCTGTGTATGGTTCTGTTGGATATACCCAAGGGATCTCAGACAACCCATATGTGCATTTACACCTAAGAGGGCAAAAGATCAAGTACAGTAATGGAGAAATGATCAGGAAAGTGATTTGGGACTGTACCAGAAAAATTCTTTGAGTATGCATAGTTGCGTAAAACTATGCATAAATGAGAGTCTAACTTTTTTTTTTTTAAGTTATCAAAATGACACAAAAATTTCAAGAGTATAAAAGCTCCCTACATTTGAAGTAAACAACAGAAAATGAAGAAATGACGTTTTCCAGGCCCGTTCTACCTTAACAGAGCATAACTAAGAAAAACTGTTGAGCACGTAGTAGTCATACTACACTGTCATTTTACATTTGCTAAAACAGATCTGTTTTCAAAGGCTTTTATACACTGAGAAGCACTTAAACCCTGTTGTAATATGTACATTATTCAAAACCAGAAAAAAAAAAACAGATAAAGCATTATATATTTAAAAAAACATCATTACAAAAGGAATTCACAAATAGACATAAACTTCATTTGCAGTATGACAATCTTATCTTTAAGATAAAAGGTTCATATCAAAATACAATTATTTTCATATTGAGAATAAAATAATAAAAATATATAATAAATATTTATTTAAAATAATCACAAATATACTGGAAGAATACAAGGAGATTGCTAAACTTTCTAAATTGTGATATATTTTAATATTTCAAACCCATTTGGTTTCTGTTCTGGAAGCCACTGTAAAGCAGTTTACAGAGTTTTTTTTTTTTTTTTTTTTTTTTTTTTTTTTTTTGAAAAGAATTCCAAATTTGCAATGAAGCTGGTGGGATGGTACCTGTTTCCATGTCTATATCATTACCTTATACATGATACATAAAATAGGGATGAAACTCTAAGTAGTGATAATGCTTCCAAACTTTATGAGCATTTTACCACTTAAAGATTTCCTTTTCCCTTCAGCAAACTTCCTCATCACAACTTTAAGGACAATGAAGTAAGTTTCAGTGACTTAGTCAACAGTGGAGTCCAAATGAGAAACCCAAAAGCAGAGAAAAGAAAAAAAAAAGTAGAAGGATGCCTTGGGAGATTCTGAATGCAATTCTTTTAGGATGGCAATTACGTATTATAAAAATTAGGATAGGGTGTTATTTTGAAGGAATAAACTGAGCAGAGTACAACAGGCTGAAAAAGTTCAGAAAAAGGACGGAGAGTCGCAAAACAATGAACAAGAACGAAAAATCTTCCAAGAATTTTCATGCTAAAAACACACCAAGAAAAACATACTCTTTAAAAACATACTCTTTTGTTCAGAAGCCAGCAACTGAGATAGTTCCAGTATTCAAATTATTGACCTAATAGCAAATACACATATTCAACAAACTACTTAGTATTTCCATCTGGTATCACAAGGAATTTATTTAAAATAATATTACAAACCCCAGAATACTTTCAGCTTAGTAGAATACTTGGAATGTATGCATTACCTTAACAACCGGATTCAGCAGAACAACACCCGATTTCTTTGTAATGACTTGCTTTGTTGTGTAATGATGGTCTATGAGCTGAGGAATAGTTGGAAACCCCGTTCCTTCAAAACGGTACTGATTCTGTGGGGAGGGAAAATGAAATTTTTTCTGTAAAATTCCAAAGAAGAAACTGCAAAAGAGCATTACCAAGCTTTCATCACGAATAACTAAACAAAGAAAAATTTGCTTTTACAGAATTAAATCTCTGTCTTAATCAAGTTACTAAGACTTCTACTGAATTAAATGGAATGGCGATCAGGAAGATAATATTTTGCAACATTATTGCTTCTCTCATTTAAGGCAACATAATGAAATAACTATTGATTTAAACTCTTAAAGATTAAAAAAAAAGCTCTTGCAATTCAAGAGGTGGGACAGTTTGAGATACTTAAACTGAAAGAGTGAAAACAAAATATTTTGAAATAGAAAAAAAACAACATTAACTTCCAAAGTACGTAAAACTAAAAATTACATAAAACAGCTAAAAAACAAACAACCAATATTCGAATAAACAAGAGGTAAGTAAACACTGTTTTACTCAGATCTTACTGCACTTAGAACATTTGAAAAAATTAACAAAACCCTGGCATGGATGCAAGGCCCATAACTGGCTTTTATAAGGAATAGATGCCAGAAAGTCTACAGCAGTATCGACGCTGAAAATAAAGGCAGGTCATGCATACAACTTATGGAGAAGTGGAGCAAGATAAAATGCCTTTTTTTTCCCTTCTATGTTTTTTAGCAATTTATTTCATTTTAGATACCTAATTCAGCATCATAGCAACAAAACTGTGGGATCTCTTAGTATTTTCTTCAGAAGCATTTAACATTTTCTTATTAAAAATGTGCTTTCAGGTACTAATTAAAAAAAAAAAAAAAAAAGAATAGCTTCATTGCTCATCCCTGTCCTTACACTTGACGGGGGGGAAATGGTAAATAAGTGTTTATTTCATCCTCCTGAATCTCTTAAATTCTACGCTGCAGTCTAGTGATTGGGAAACAGGATAAGCTGCCGTGCCTATTTAAATTCTCAATATGTACAATTACAGGACTGGAACTGCCCTAAGTCATCCAGCAGAACTGACAGCAGCCAGAAGAAATAAGACTGACCAAACAAACACAAAGTATAAATGGAGAGTCAGGTTCATTTACTCAGTTGGGCACTGAAAACCACTATCACTGGCATGCAGACTTTTTCCTTCTGACATCTTCATTTTTTTTTTTTCCTTTTCTTTTTTAAATGTGTCATGCCAAATTTCTCTTCATTAGGACTAAAGGCATCAACTTCCTGGAACGTGTTATCTGTTTCGGTATAGGAAGCTTGGTCATATCACCTATTTTTATCTTCTTATTGGTTCTCTATTATAGAAGTGCTTTCACAGCCTAAATACCTTTTGTGGTTTATCTCCCTAACTTCATTCACTAGTTAAATACCGACTCAGATTTGCTTGCTGGTGATATTAGCCTACATTCTTTTCAAATAACCTGATCACTTAACAAACAATAGTTTGAAAATAGCATAGCCTCCAAGGGCAGCAGGGAAAAACAGATCAGCCTTGAATGACAGCAGTGAAATTCACCACTTTAGGCTGAAGGATGAACAGATTTATCATACAAATACTTTTACTGAGATTAGCACTTAAGAAATACCTGTAAAACTCTTGCAATTAAATACTTAGGCAATTAAAGGACCACTGTTAAAACAAGCATATGTCATACACTACTCTGCAGTCTTTAATTCAGAAGAAAATTTGCATCACTGGAGACGAAACTTGTCAGTGACGGAAGAGAGTAATTTCACCAGTCACAGAGGGCTGATTCCACACTGTTTATACCAGTGCAAAAAAGAAGTTCTCACACTTCACTCTCAGCAAACTTCCCTACCAAAAATTTCATGAATCCAGTCCCTCTTGCCGTATGACCCCAAAATTCCCGCCACTTATTAACTGTTTTTCAGCGTTAACAAGCTTTTTTTATTCCTAAATGTACGAGCAGACAGATCTAGTGACCTGAGGATGTTTGGAGTGTCTAAGCTGTGCAATATTAAACAGTGTCAGTCTCACATTTCAAATAAAATTCCTATGAGAAAATAATGAAATTACAGGAATAAAGATTTTTACGGTTTTTCAATTTTTTCTTGGAAAGGGAGATACTAAAAAGCATCAAATCACAGATACAGGGTAATAATAATAAAAAACAACAACCACCACCAAAACACAACCCACCCTCTATTTTAACAGGCTTCAAAGTCCAGTCTGCATTTTTTTGAAACCCCACTGGAGTTTGACAGCTACAATGATTTACACAAAATGATTTCAGTCATATAAAGCACATTACATGCATTTAATTCTGCTGGGTCAGCATCACAGCACCAAGCATCCTACAAGGTTGTGTGTATATAGCTACGGGTAGTTTTATTGCTCTTATTTTCTCTTTGAGCATTCCGATACACCAAAATACGCTAAGGTCATAAAAATCAACATAAGATAAATGCTGACTTCATGTCAAAGTTAACGCCTAGAGGAAAATTCCAGGTGAAAATTAACAAAAACTGCAGCTGGACAAGTGTCCATAATCAGTGATCATACAGAAACCTTCCAACTTCACAGAAGCTGGAACAATATCACTGCCTCTCATTAAAAAGAAATACAGCTGCACACTAACAGTATGCTACGCTGCATCAGCTGGGGATTTAGACTGGGAAAATTCCCTCAGTGCAAACATAGTTAAGGTAGCAAATTTGTGCATTTGTCTGTATGGTTCGACTGAAGTTTAGTAGATTCTATTGCAACGCGCTGAAGTATGTTCTGTCAGTGTTACTGAATCAAAACGGAGAATGATTTGCTGGTGTATTGTACCTATATTGCCAGAGACAAGAGCTAGAGGCAATTCGAGCAACGTTATGCCTAGCAATGTCGTCTTTTGAATGAATTTGAAATTCTGCAAAGTATAAAGAAAAATACATACAAATAAAAACAAGGAATGCATTAAAAATAGAAAGAAATCCATTGGGTAAAAGTAAATACATATTAATGTACTATTTAAAATGACCAGTTTTCCCTAAGTTAAAGCTACAAGGGAATCAATTCTGGTCTTTACTTGGAAGCATAAATGCTATGTTATATCCACAAGCATTTATGTTCTGCTGAACAAAACAACGTCCACAAGGCTAAAAAAGAATACACGCATCTCAACAGCAGCAGGGACTTCAGTTCCCAACTATATAGAAAACATCACAGATTATTTTCTTCTAGATGAAAGTTTCAATTTTTCAGGAAGACTCAATGGAAATTAATTTACAGTCTGAATTAAAAGTAGCCTAATAAGCACCAACTGTGAAAATAGGTTTAAAAAAAAATAAACGTACATTCATAAATTAGCAATAATGAGTTCTGGTTTTCAAAACATTTACAGAAATATTTTGGCTTTTCAACAAAGGATAAAAGATGTAGAATAAAATCATACTTCGTACTTATCTTTCATTCCTAAAATGACCTTTTTCCTTGATTTCACATTGATTAAAATATATCCCAACAGATTTCACATTTCATATAAAGGCTAAAGCCAAATGTCATAGGAAATTATGTAGATCCTAAATTGTTTAGCTGAAATAATAAACTTCCTAACATTGAATTGAATATTTACTACTATATCAGAGACGTACATCAGCATATTGTATGATAAAGTGTCTCCGTTGTCCATCTGAAAACACAGAAAGGACATATTCACCAGGTTTCCCGTGGCTCTCTCGCACCAAGAAGTCTCCTTGCTGTTTTAATAGTTCCTGGGCTTCTATTCTTGGAATTGCACCATGATACCAGTCTTGCTCTGCCAATGGTTTCTCAGTGGTTGATATTACATCAAAGAACTTGGAAAAAATATTGAATAAAAATGTTACTATAATAGTACATTTTTAGAGTTTATCTTAACATTTAAACATGGTAACAATAATTGTGTATATATCCAATAACAAACAAAAATAAGGCTATTTACACTAAAGGCATACCGATCACCTTTTTTCCTATTACTTAAAAAATTAAGTCTGCATATATGTATACATCTACCAGAAGTTAATGGAAATATCCACAAAACCATATACCAATTTTTTTATTTTGCTCTCCTTTTTTTGTAAGCCAAATTGACCTAACTATCACCCTTTCTCACATATCCTGACATGCCATTAACCACAATTCAAAACAAAGCATTTATTTATCCACAGAGAAATTTGAGATATAAGAAATGGAGTTTTCAAAATTGTTTGCACTGGCTAAATTATTTTCATAGAATTTAAAAATCCCATTCCAAACCAATTAACAATTCTAAGAGCCATTTTCTTCCTAGTCTGTACACTATAACAGAGCATAGGCACCTGGGCATACTGTGCTTATGAACTTAAGATACAGTTCCACTGGTTATAAACGGACTCTTAACTTGTAACTTCATATATTTGACAAACTTGCACTGTTTAACAAAACACTTTGGAAAATGTTATATTTTGTTCAAGTGACCACTTCAGATTTATGTGCGTGGCTAGACTAAGAAGCCCTTATTCAGGCCATATGGGACTAATGATTCAAAATCATTAGTCCAAGTGCTGATACAGAAAACTGCCAGAGTGGTAAATCTCTGAACAAAACAATTCTGAGTGAACCTCAGCTACTGTTCCACCCAGATGAAACAAGGTTTTTCTTCTTCATATCATCAAGCCCTTTGGGATGGGCAAAGAGAATAAAAACATCCCGCTGGTGCCCACAAGAGAAAAATTGGCAGCGTGTAGCTCTGGGCAGGTTATCTGCACATTTAAGGTCCCCCCCTCTAAGGTGACCATCAGGCTAAGATGCTGTAGCTAACCAAAAACACTGGGAAGAGCTTGGAACTCGGAAAGCATAGGAGCAGACACAGATAGGGAGTCTACACAGGACTTTCCTGAGTTCCCAAATATCTGTAATTCTTGAGCACTTTCAGAGCAAGCTTTCTGATGTAAAAAAACGCCTTTGTTAAAAGGCTGTGGGTATCCTGCCTTTCTTTCTAAGTTATATCTTGGAAGGGCTAATTTAGTCTAGAATCCTAATGGAGAACTGGGGAGTATATTAAAGAGTCTGACAGAGACTCATAGCCTCCGATATCGACATCGGGATCTCTCGGATATTTTCAG